TATTTATTTATTTCAGAGTTTTCTATACCGAGTTTCTCAACCTCTTTGAGGGACTCAGCCCGGTTTACAACCATAAAAACACATACAATCATTAAAATATTACAATTACAATTACAGAGCCCATTTAAAATAACACTATATATAAAATAACACTATATATAAGACTACGATGGTCAGTCGCCGTATTAAAATCAGAGTATACATGATCTTCCATCCAGAGTCCTAGGGTGTTGTCTCATTCATCAAAGGCCTGACTCCACAACCATGTCTTCACCCGTTTCCTAAATGTCAGGATAGATGGGGCGGTTCTGACCTCCGGTGGGAGAGAGTTCCAGAGTCGCGGGGCCACCACCGAGAAGGCCCTGTCCCTCGTCCCCACCAGATGCGCTTGCGAGGCCGGTGGGACTGAGAGCAGGGCCTCTCCAGACGATCTTAATAATCTTGATGGTTTGTAGGGGAGAATACGTTCGGAGAGGTAATCAGGGCCAGAGTCGTTTAGGGCTTTATAGGTTAATACCAGCACTTTGAATTGTGCTCGGAAGCTAATTGGCAGCCAGTGGAGCTGGGTTTTAAAGTATTTGTTAGAACTTCCCCCTCCCCTGCACCTGTTCTGTTCCCTTTTGTATAGCTTATTGCTTCAGTTCTAGATGAGTTACTTTCCTGTCATCAGCTGTAACACGTACTGACTAACATGGAAGTCAGGTTCCTGCCTGCTGGAATGATGAATTTATTTATTTATTTTTTTATTTACTTTGCTTATATACCGCTGTATCTCAAGCCCGAAGGCGACTCACAGAGGATGAAGAAATATCCTCCCATCAAATCATGGGAGGATATTTCTGCCTCTCTTGCTGAAAAGTCTAAATATTCCTATTTGTTACAGTATAATTCAGCCAAAAGCAGTTTGAATGGTTTCCATGATTATGTTGTCGAAAACAATACCCCACCTCAAAAGGATTTATAGTTTTCCAAGGGTGCAAGAATAGAAAAATAAGAATTTGTGGCTTCCCCACAAAGACTTTGTTTCAAACTTTAATAAAATATATCCTTTTGTTTCAATTTTCTGCCTGCCTTCTATCCTTTAATACTAGTTCTATCCCTATGTATGAATATATTATGTAATATGTGGAATTTATGTCAAAACATAACCAGACGAGTCTTCAGCCATCCTTTTGACACATTTCATGGACAGGGAAGGTTGGGATAATCCCCCAGCTTTTCCTGGTCAGAGCAATAATCAAGATCCATT